TGCTGGTATCATTTCGACTAAGAATTACCTTATTTCGCTGATGAAGCGGCATTCCCACGACGAGCTTGATTGTGAGTTTCTTGCGGAATAACGACGTTCGATGTCACCGTTGGTCGTTTAGTTTTAGGTGAGTCGTCGTCGGAGCTTGACGGTGTAAAATCCCATCCGGGCGTTTTTGGAATTTCCCAATCGCAACTGTCTCGGCTTGTTGTCGGATGTTTGACGTCTTTCCCTTGTTGTTTATGGCTGTAAGTATCGTCGGTCGAAGTAGTAGTAGTTGATCGTGTCTCAGTTGGTCGCTTTTTGTATAGTCGTATAGTATGCCCGTAGTATTCGTGTGGAAGCATATAGCATCATTTGTACTCCAGAACAAAGACAGAGTCGTTAATTCGGATGTCAGCGGTACGGATACGTTCGAATATTTTGTGGGTTGCATGGAGACGTTCTTTCACGGGATACTACTTTATGAGTTGAGCACGACTCTTTTGCTGAGGTGTGAGTGCGATGTGCCACCAGTGGAAGGGTCCGGACATCCTGGAATTAAACTCTTTGGATTGCACGTTGTGTTCGAGTTCAAACTTGTACGTTGTATGACATTTGTCATTAAGAATATATTGGTGCGACTGTTGTCGCTGGAATACACTGTTCCGACGGTTGTCGGATGAAAAATACAAATAAAATGAGGAGTAAAAATAAATGAGTGATGAACAAATAGATGAATGATAAAGTTGAGTAGTAATAACTAATGGTGAATAATAACACATGATGATTAACACAGTTTTGTGTTGAATGGCACGTAAGTTGCTGATAGACGTGACAGGTCAACTGTTTCTTGTAATGAAGTATCAATTCTAGGTAGATGAATGGAGACTTTTGTCGTTTCCAGGGATCTTTTCCTTTTTTGATGACAGCACATGAATGGTCGTTTACTGATTACAATAAATAATGATATCAGAATGAATAGCGATATTATTATGACTATTGTGGTAATTACTGCTGATCGCCACTTTGCCACTGTTGTTTCGAGTACTTCTTCAATATCTTTGGCACGGGTAGCTATTTTATGGCCGAGCTCATTAATCATTTGTTCAGAAGAGTTTGCCAATGACGGTTCATCCAATGATTTGGTTCCAAAATCGTCGAGTTGATTTCTACCGATCCTGTCGAGGGCTAATTGGATAAGTTCCATTGAGATGTCAACTGGACGAGTTGAGTTGAAAATAACCTTGGAATCGTCTTTTGATAAATGGATAAGGATGCCTATAGCGGTTTCGTCGATATTAGTTGGAGGAGGTTTCCATGGGCAAGGTACTGTTCTAGATGTTGGTACGATATCCTTTGAATGTGGCAAAATAAATAATTGTTTAGTTCCAACAGTGACTGGTAGCCATTCGTAGCACAAGCCATTTCTTTCATGGTTCCAAATTGTTTTGGTTACATTTACTGAGTAACATTTGGTTACCAGAAGTGATTCGCCAACGTAGGTTGCCGCAATATCTGTCCGGTCTAGTAGCAATCTTGTTGCTGCGGTTGGGTCTGATATGCTTATCTATTTAATGAGATTATGGAAAGTATTTCTGGTTACACACCATTTGAGTGCATTCCGCTTTGCTTCCATGTCATTCAAATATTGCAATTTTGTATTAGTCGGGTGGGTCGTCTCTTATTGTCATTTTCTCTGCCATGAATGTTCGTAAGGGTGAGTGGTTGGTGTTGTTGCGGTAATTCGTCTCTTGGCGACTCTCCGACGAGAGGAAAGAAATGATGACATCGTTCAACATTAGGTGAGCATTAGGAATGTTACATCCTCGGTTCAGAATAGGGCGATACTTGGAGGGGATGAAGGCAGATTGTATAGTGTCGATAAAGATTTCCTCATGAGAAATTCTGGCTGTATAAGTACCATCATAATAATATTGGCAATGTTGGGTGAGTTCGGATGAATTCCAAACGATTGTTTCGTGTGTTGTGAAGCAGTGATCGTCTTGAAGACGACACCCAGCAGTACGTGTGAAATCTGTTAGAGGTTGACTGCCATCGAATAGAATTATTTCTCCTTCCTCCATGTTATAATTGGTTGTGTTTTCACAATGTGTTCCAAGGAGTCCGTAGGAATAGTGGAGTGGATTACGCGTGGAGAACTTATGTGACATATTAGTGGGATGGAGAATAAAGTCTCCAAGACGGTGGTTTTTACGGAGATGGATACAGTCTTGAAGTGGGATGTTATTCATAATAATGGAGTCTTGCGTTACTTGTAGGCTCCAACGAAGGAAAGCCCAAGTACATACGGTTTGAGTGATTTTTGAGCAATACGTAGCACTGATCGGAATGAGCTGACGACGGTATAGGGCAACGCGTGCGTTGTACCACGATGAATGTGTTGATAGAGTACAGTTTAATGGCTTAGGGAAGCGAAGAAATAGGCCGAGATGTTGATGAGGACATATTTGTGCTTGCAGAGCATTTGTGGTAGTTATCATAATGATGGTGCAGAGCATAAGTAGAAAAAATGGACTTTTGTATAGTCGAATGGTAGGTGTTGTAATTATTGGTTGTTGATCTTGGTCGTTGGAGTTTCCAGACTTCATGTTAAAGGTAGAGGGAGGTTCGACAATCGAAGAGAAGGAAGATGATTCTTTGTTAAGTTTGTGAGTTATACTTCTTGTAACTGGACGATGAATGGCGTGAGTAATAACTGGTTTGTGTTCTGAATTATTTAATACGGTATCATGCTGTTCAGTAACTTCGAGGGGATATAAATCTGATATTGGTCGACTTGTGGTACGACCAGTGGCAGTACGTATTTTCGCGGTTCTGATCGCTCCATCTTTGCTCGGTGGTGTATCAACGATACGAGCTAATTTCCAGTGAGCGCGGGGGAGATTCGGACTACGAAGAAGAACGACTTCTCCAATTTGAGGTTCGCGGCGTGTTTGTGCATGAGGTGCAACATGGCGAGATTGTTCACGTTCTCGTAGCATTTGAAAGTATAGGCGGTGCCAAATCGTCCAGAAACGATTGAGACAACTTTGGGATTGCCGCCATTGATTAATAAATTCTTCGCGAGATGTAGGAGGATTTTGAGAGGAGGGTTGTCCTTGTTCGTCTGTGTCGACATTGATGAGGAGATTGGCAGATGGACGGAGATAATCGATAGGACGGAGTACTAGTAATGAGTCGCTCTCGAGGTATGTGAGAGGGCGTTGATTGAGGACGGCTTCGGTTTCGGTAATTAAAGTGTGAAATGTTGTTTGATCAAGAAGACGTTTTCCGATGGTTCGGCGAAGGGAATTTTTTGTTATTCCAACAAGGCGTTCATAGATTCCTCCTTTCCATGGTGCGAACGCTGTTATAAATGACCATGTGATGTCGTTTGCTGCTGGAATTAATTTGAGAGCAGAGGCCATAAGTTTGAAGATGGTGCCATTATCAGAGAGTATGTCCTTTGGTGTGCCTCGACGTGCGATAAAGCGACGCAGGCAGTGCATAAATCCGTATGTGGAAATATCTTCTGCGATTTCCAAGTGGACGGCGCGATTGCTGAGACAGGTGAATAAAGCGACCCATTGTTTGATAATGTCGTTATCTGTTCGAACTTTAATTGGTCCGAAGTAGTCAACTGCAGTGCAGTGAAATGCTGGTGACATTTGTATTCGTTCGGAAGGAAGCGGTGGCATTTTTGGTAACTGGAACGGTTTTGCAGACCATTTTCTGCATATTAGACAGTCTCTATGAATAACGGATTTGACGGTCTGTCGTCCGTGCGGTATCCAATATCGTTCTCGGAGTTTAGCGAGTGTTGTGGAGACGCTTCCGTGTAACAAAATGTCGTGATAATACATAATGATGAGGTGTGTAATACGATGATGACGAGGAAGAAAGACTGGTGATCTGGTATGAAGTGGTAGAACTGGATTGTTTAGTCTGCCTGTGCAGCGCCAAATGTGGTCATTATCTTGTTGCAATTCCCAGCGGTGAATGTCGGCTATGGATATGGATCCGGACTGAGCTTGACGTAGTAATAAAGTGAGAATTTGCTGACGGTCTTTTCCAGTTATTGGGCCGTAAAGTGTGAGGTTAGCGAGTGCTTTAATTGGGGTTTTTCGCAATTTCTGCAAAAAACGAAGTGATAGGACTGTTGCGTTGATGAGTGTATTCCAATTGTGGAATCGCGAAGGATCAACGAGATTATATGCAGGTTGTTCAATAGTGGCCGTTGTAACGGTTACACCTGTTGTGGTCGTTGCAACATCTTGTTCTTCATCTTCAAGGATTTGAAGTGGAAGCATTGTTTGATAACTTGATGGCCAACTTGAAGAGCAGTCAGATACCCAGTGTGGTCCATACCACCAGTGGTTGTTATTAGATAATTCTGTTGGAGAGCATCCTCGTGTGGCCATATCAGCGGGATTGTCTTCGCTTTGTACGTATGCATAGTGTATGTCTGTTGTTTTACGAATTTCGTTAATTCTATTCTGAACGAAACGCGGTAGTTTGTCTTCTTTGCCGCTAGCAAGCCATGCTAGTGCACATTTGCCGTCAGACCATAAAAATTTCGGAGCTGATTGAATGCCAAGTTGATGTGCAATAAAGTTACTTAAGCGGACGCCAATTAGAATGCTGAGTAATTCCAAACGTGGTATGGTGAGCGATTGAATAGGTGCGATGCGACTTTTAGCCATTAATAAAAAGGTTTCGGATGGCGTTGTGACGTTATTACGGAGGTATATTACAGCTGCATAGGCTCGTGAGGAGGCATCTGTGAAGATGTGAAGTTGTACATCGGAATAAGGGATGATGTGAGGTATACAAAATGACATTTGTTTCCAATCAGATTGAAGTGTATTCCAACGTTGAGTGATGTTTGTGTCGGTCACCTCGTCCCATTTTTTCGTTTGTTTTGTTACATCTTGAAGGAATAATTTAGGTGGTAGAATTATAGGTGAGATAAGTCCTAAAGGATCAAAATGTTTTGCAATGTGACGTAAAATGGATCGTTTTGTAGTTTTGTCGACCATAGGTGGTTGGGTTTTAATGGTAAGTCTATCGGAATCGGTATCCCAGAGTATTCCAAGAACTTTTACAACGGGTTTTCCGTGGCGATCTTGTTCATTGATGTACTGGTATACCTCAGAGTCATTTGTGCTGAAATCGCATAAGTTCATTTTTGCTGAGGCAGATATCTCTTTTGCTTCACGGTAGGCTTCTTTAGCTTGTTCTGTTGTGGATGCCCTTAGTAGGACATTGTCGACATATATGTTTCCAGCGATTGCACGTGCCCAGGGTGATTTAGACTGAGTAAGATGATGTCGGACTACGCCGGCTAACAGAAATGGAGAGCTTTTTGCCCCAAATAGGACTCGTCGGAAGCGGTAGCTGATAATAGGGTTTATAGGACTGAGTGGTTGTGTTGGATCCTTGAGCCATAGAAATCTGGTGGCATCGCGATCTGGTTCCTTAAGGGCGACTTGAAGGAAAGCCTTTTCAAGGTCTGCAATAATGGTAATCTTGTACAGACGTAGTCGAAGTAGAACGCCTGTTAAATCAGGAAGCATAACTGGTCCTCGGTACAGATTGTCATTGAGAGAATGTCCCTTGGGTGCACTGGCACTAGCGTCGTATACAATACGTAATTTTTGTTTTTCTTCATTCCACACCATTTGATGAGGGATATAGTGAACGAATGGACCGGATGGGGTAATTGGACATGGTTCAATAATTTCGGAATCGAGTTGTTGTTGCAGTGTTTCAATGTAGCGTTGTAATTGCTTTGGATTGGTTTGTAATGTTCGAAGAAGAGACTGAAGTCGTCCAACGCAGAGGCCAAAATTAGAGGATAGGTTTGGGTGTTCTGATTTCCATGGCCATCCAACGCTGTATCGGCCATCTGGGAGGCGGCGCAGAGATTGATTAAAAAGACGTTGAGCTGTTGTATCATCTTCTTGTGATTCCTCTTCTAAATTGATGCCTACCAAATCATGGCGCCATAAGTCAGAAATGGAGAATTGAGCCGTACCAACAAGCACAGCAGATGATTGTGTATGGAAATTTTTGAGGTATGTAGCTGGGATAGATCCATTACCTCCGATCATTGGTCTAAGTTCAGACTCATAGAGCGCAAAACCGGATGGCAGATGTGTTAATACTCTTGGATTGACTTTACTAATGAAGTTTGAACCGAGGAGAATATCAGGTTCGTCCATGTATAGAGGGAGTGAGAGTTTCCGTTCTTTTTGATGCCATACTTCACTTATTGTATATGGTGAAATATTTGCATGGAGGAATGGTTCAGTTACTTTCGGCAGCGTATGTGCTGTGAGTAATTGATTAGTACCGTTGGGAAATGAGATGCCTAAGGTGACAGTGTGGCTGGTGAAGGATGTGCCTGAGTTTCCTCCCACTCCTTTGACGACAATAGTGTTTTCATTCGTGAGGGGTAGACCGAGTCGTTCAGCAAATCGAACAGTTATGAATGAACACTGGCTACCTTGATCGAGGAAGACTTTGGCACGCAATGTTGAGAGAGTGGAAATTGGGTTAAATGCGCGTGCAGTAATCCACAATAGGAGTGATATATTGTCGGCTGTAGAAGACATGATTGCCGTGCCAGTAACAGTTGCAGATTCGTTATTGGTTGGAGGGGATGGGTCAATAATAGCATTGTGTGCAGTGTGTGTGGATGCTTGAAGCAACTGAGGACAGATAGCTTTGTTATGATTACGTCTGCAAAGGGAGCATGGTCGATTTTTGCATTGCTGAATAGTGTGACCTTTACGGAAGCATTGTGGGCAGATGTTCAGTTCTCGGACACGTTGGCGTCGTGTGTCGAGTGTGCGATACTTTGTGCAGTCGGCATTCCAATGCATATCATTACAGAAGATACAAGCTCGATTGGGTTTGACGGAAGTGCGCTGGGTTGAATAGTTGGACGAGGGGGTGTGGTTCAGTGGAGAATTTTTATGTGAATTGTTGAAGGGTCGTTGATATCTGACACGATTGGAACTGTGGAATGTTGGTGTTGATTGGGTGATTCCATGAAAGGCAGAAGAGAGGTTAGGATTAGGGTGAGGGTTGTGCTGACGAATGAACTGCTTGATGTGAGGCATGTGTCCCTGATTGCGTTCTTGGTTATAAGTTGAAGAGGTACATGTAGCAGTTAGCATGCGTGATTCGGCTAATAAGGTAGATTTAAAAGTTTCGGTTGTCCAAGGTTTAATACGCTATTTTTCGTTGTACATGTACCGTTTGCTACCTTCCGGTAAATGGTCTTCCAGTTCAAATAATACATGGTCATTCTCGATGTTGAGACCGGCAATGGTCATGTGATGTAATACGCGAGTTATGTCGTTATGGTATTGAAGGAGGTCTTCTGCGGTGTGTGAAGGATTAGGTAATTGGCGTAGTTGAATTTGTAGACGTCTTCCCAGTTCATTTTTGTCACCATATAAGGTTTGGAGGATATTGAGAACAGGTTCGTAGCTGCGTTCACTTAATTGGTAACCAGCGACTGCTTGTTTGGCTTTGCCACGTAGGCAACTGAGGAGATAAGCTAATTTCTCAACGGGCGAGAGGTGCGGTTGGTTATGTACGGTGACTTCAAAAATTTCCCAAAATTCAAACCACTCAAATTGTTTGCCACTAAAAGTGGGAAGTTCGATTTTGGGCAATTGTACGGAAGGATTGGTTGGCTGTGATTGCTGCTGAATTGGTGTTGGTGAAGGTGGAAGAAATTGAGTGATTGTGGAATCGTTAAAGGATAATTGCTGAATTTGGGAATAGCAGGTTTCCTCGAGGAACGTCAGTTTGTCGATTACAGTATGAAGGCGTTCAATGACCATTGCAAGTCCATGTGGGTCATTAGTCATCTGCTGAAAAGCAGTTTGTTCGGAGAGGAGAGTATCATTCTCGTCGCGTAGTGATAATGAATCAATTAGCTGTTCCCATCGGGAATAATGACGTTGGAGAGAAGTGAGTTTGTGTTCCAACAGTAATCGAGTCGGTCTGGCTGTGTCAATGATTGATTTAATGGATTGGGCTTGAATGAACGGAGTTGATGACGCATCTGGTTGGAACTTCAGTAACTCGTCGGTTTCATTGAGGATTGGGTCACAAGCAATAATGATAGGGTGAACAGCAGCCTGGATTGGTGATGACTTGAGCAGAGAAGGTGAGCTAGCCATTGCACGGGGGATCGTCCGCTTATTTGACAAACGCACCATGTAAAAGAATAGGAGGCACTATGTGAGGGAGTAGGCCCTAAATGGAA